TCGCTACTCCCCACGGAAAATTGCTCGGTCTGATGAATTGCTTGCCTACCAGCTCCAGAAGCCGAGATGACAACTCCTGGATTTCAGGCAGTGCCAAACAGCACGGTGCTTTGGCAATCAGTGTTGCACCTGGAACAAGGTTAATCTTGAACGCAACCTACCTCTCAGGAGGCATACCGGGTAACTACTCTGGGAAAACATCAGCAAACTCCCTTACAACTAGAACCTATAAAAATGAAGTCTACTCCCTAACCCGAGAATCAACCACATAATCCAAATAACCTGCACACCCGTGCTGGATATACCGCCAAGCCCTAGCTGCCGAAAAAAACCCTAAACCAAGCCTAGTACCCTCTCCATTGATAACCAGTTCTCCCCACTTAAAGTTCGAACTACCACCCGATGGCCCTCACAATCAATCATGGCACCAAACATGCTCATCTAGTCCGTCCCCACTATCACGTAAACATCCCCCATGGGGATAGCGATTAGATCATTCGTATAAGGCACTATGAAAATCTCCAATATTCAATGCTGATACACTATGGATGTAGCAAACCCATGTTCTTTGGTGATAGAAACCCACAACAGACACTCTAACTCCCCAATAGGCATATCAAAGTCCCTACTGAATGGTCAAGATACAAAAGACCGACTCACGCCCAAGTCAAATAATAGAAGGGCAGGCAAAGAGTTCACCAAGAGCGTACCTATTAAGAGAATAAACATGAGCATAACATAAAACATAATCAATAGAATAATGAATAGAAATATACCGGTCACAACATCTGGTGCCGACCTGGCCTCCTCTGTCGTGAGCTGAAAAGCATGACCCCAAGCCCTCAGGGGCTTCACCCTACCATGACTCGCATCCACATCGTTGGAACCCGTGCTGGCCTAGGAGCAAGCAAGGGGCAGTGGGCCTTCATATGGCCCACTTGATCATATTGATAACAATTCCTAATGCTGGATACTAGAGCCTGCTGCTGGCAGTCCCTCACAATGCAACCCTAATTGATACATTTTTGGCATCCTAAAGAAGATCGACATGATCCGTCATGAACCATGCCGCAATTCCCACAAGTGAGGCCCCTATGACTACCAAATCTAGTATAAGCGACCCTAGACTACTCCGACGCAGGTCAGAATGTGTTGGGGCGATATATGCTCCCTCGTCTGGAGCTCTATCTCAATCTCACACCACTTGGCTACCTCCTGTAACTCCAACAATGAACCATAAAGTTGAGTGGATACAAAAAACCTAATGTACATCTTGAGCATGCTCAATTAATGGGTCATCTAAACATGCTCAGATACAGAAAACTCAGGACAAAACATGGCCCACTCCGTGAACATCTTGGTAAAGTCCGTCTCCGACTCAGTCCCCTGTCTCAAATCCAAGTACTCATGGGCCAACCTCTCACACTCCACTAACGGAACATAACTATAACGACACATCTCTGAGAAGTGCTCCCATGTCACTACAATCCTCTGCTCAAGATAATACGAACTGGAAACAAGTCTCCACCAATCCTTAGCTCCAGACCTAAGAAGTTTCAGAGCACACCTAACCTTCTGGTTAAGTAGGCAAGAGCAAGTGAAGAAGCATCCCTCAATTTTGGACAACCACCTCATGAATATGATCGGATCCTAAACTTCGTCAAACATTGGGGGCTTCGTATTTTTGAAGTCTTGTTCCGTTGCAGCTCTAGGACCACGTCTAAGGGTATTAACCTCCAATCTCATGGACATCCTATCAGTAATAGAAACATGTCTATGTAAATCCAGAGCATAAAATCTAGGAAAAAAGGCAGACAGAGGCATTTCACCCCTCCAAACATCATGCCAAAAAGAAGTACGAGTACCATCTTCAACTCTAATGGGGCAAAGCGATTGAAGATCAATATCATTCTGGTGTAACTGGGAGAACATATGAACATCCCCAATCCAAGGGCCTTGGCCAGTAATAGGATACCTCAAATTCCTACATACACCATCCAAACCATAAATAGATTTTATCACTCTAACCCATAAAAGCGCAGGGCAGTGATAGAGCCTCCACCACCACCGAAATATCATAACCCTATTAAAAGAGAAATGACTACTGGTCCCTAATCCTCCTTCGTCCGTGGAAGATAAAACTATATCCCATCTAACCCAATGCATATGATGTTCATTCCCATCTACACCCCAAAGAATCTCGCCCTCATTCCTTTTAAATCCTTCAAAACCGAAAGAGGAGCAAGAAAGATAAACATCAAGTAACTCCCTAACGAGCCCAAGACATCAGTCACCAGAGTAAGGCGACATCCAAACGAAATAGCCTTAGCCTTCTACTTTAAAAGTTTACAGCAAAATCTATCAAACAAAGAAATCCAAGAAGACGTTCGAGTCATAGGCTGACTCACCGGGATACCGAGATAGGAAAAAGGGAGCATAGAAGCTTCACAACCAATCCTGTTAGCCACCACAAGAACTTTGGAAAAAGGGATTCCCACACGAATCAATTTACTTTTAAATAAATGATTTTAAGCCTAGAATCCAAATAAAACAGCTAAGAATACGAAGAAGACAGTTTGCATTTTCAGGATCCCAAGAAGCGACCAACATAACATCATCAACATAAAGGAGATGAGAAATCTCAATTCCTGAAATAGAGATCCCTATGAAAGCATTCCCTACTCGATCCCTCATCAAAGCAACATGAAGACCCTCTATAGAAAAAAAAGGGACAACGGATCACAACGTCTCAACCTATGGAGAATTTGGAATTCATCAGTCGGGGAACCATGAACCAACACAAAATCCCTAGCAGTGGACAATAGCTCCTTAATCCAAAGACACCATGTCGACCTAAATCCCAAACTGGTCATAATTTCCAATAAGTAATTCCAATATAACGAGTCATAAGCCTTCTCAAAATCCACCTAAGGAAGCATCATAGGATTTTTGGAAGACTTGCCCCAAGATACCAATTCATTCAGAAGAAAAGGACCATCCATGATCTGTCTACCTTTAATAAAAGCAGATTGCTCATGGCTACAACACTAAGAATAACCTCCACAAGACAATTAGCTAGAAGTTTACCAATAATCTTTTATTGGGAACTAATAAGACTAATGGGTCTAAAATATTTTGGAGTCTTCGGATCTCTAACTTTTGGGATAGTAGTAAAAAAAGAGGCATTAAACCCCTTTGGAATGTCAAAATGATCGAAAAATTGGTGAACAAATTTCTCAAGATCAGCTGCAACAAGATCCCAATATCTCTTTAAAAACCCGAAAGTAAAACCATCAGGACCAGGGGCTTTAATAGAGCCAGAATCCCAAACTGCCCTTTTTATATCCTCATAAGAAAAAGGAGATTGCAAATAATCAACCTGTAATTGGGATAAGGCACTAAAAGAGCACCATCTATTACAAGTCTCCACGAAGAATCCTTCTGAATTCAAGATTGAAAATAGTCGTGAAACCCCTCTTTGACCTTGACTTCTCATCCCCTTCAATGCCCCACTAAATTTTATCCTTTTGAGCAAGATCAACTTGAACTAAATGATCAAGATTCGACATCTCCTTCAAAAAGTAAACTCTTTGCTCTCTCAAGTTAGCAGACCCTTCATCCTCCATGATCCTAATATCAATTGACTCTAATAAATCTAGAAAATTGTTCCTCTTATTACCCACCATGTCCTGGTGTTTAGAGTTCCACTCCTTGGGTTTAGATTTAAGAAACTAAAGTTTTTTTCTTAAAAATAACACAAGGGTTAGTGAGCTCCATCCCCACCAACGAGGTAGCCCAAGCATCCTGAACAACATTATCAAACCCCTCCATATCAAACAAAGAATGAAATAAAGGAGAAGGTTGCGGACCATAATCTACTCGATGCTCTAACAGAAGAATAGGACGGTGATCAGGAATATTCTTTTCCAAGACAATAGCTGAAAGTTGAGGAAACGACTCCAAAAAACCTTCTGTGACCAAAAATTTATCAAGCTTGTTGAATTTGGAACCCCATTTATTACTCCAATTGAATCGTGGTCCACCCAAAGGAACACCCACAAGATCAAGAGAATTAATAAAATCATTAAAAACTCTCGCAGAAGACATATTAAAATTCGATCCCAATCTCTCAGATTCATCTCTAACTTCATTGAAGTCACCCATAACAATACATTCCCCCGAAAACTTGGAAATAATATTATAAATATCATTCTAAAGAAGTCTGTTATTATTTAACCCTTGACAGGCATATACAACAACAAAAATCACTTGGAGACCCGAACGAACCCAAACTGCCTCAATAGTAGCAAAATGACCGTGAACTAATACTCGATTTTGAGAAATCAAATCCAAATCCTGAATAACAAGTATACCCCTAGAAGATCCATGAGAAGGAGAAAAAAAGTGTGAATAAAAGAAGAATTACCCCAAAAAGATCTAGCCATAACTAGGTCGATGCACTCTAACTTAGTTTCTTGTATTGCTAAAAAGTTAACTTTATGACTATTACACAATTTTTTATTCCAACTGCTTTTATCTATGGAGCCCGCCACTTGAATATATATTGATAGACAATTCATTTTGGAACTTGCCTCTCAACATGCCCTTTTAAAATCTCTGTAACACGATCCATGCAACCTTCTATATTATACCCCAACGATTCTCCCATTGCAATAGTTTTTTGTTATTCATTTTAAAATGAATTATTTTTATCGTCACCATCTAAAATACTTTGATTGTTCCCTGACAAAGAAACCATTGATTTGAGAAACATTGGGGATGAGAGAGATCATCTTCAGAATAATTAATACTCGAAACTCATCCAAAACCTCCGGAAAAACCCACTGGTTTACTATGAACCCAATCCTTAAAGGGATAGTCTTCAATAAAAACCTCATGCTTACTCCCTGAATTCTGATTAACTTCGTTTTTTGTTCCAAGATGAGAAGAGAAAATAGGAGTTGATGTTGTCGAGGTAGCATCCGGGACAACAACAGGAGCTATGTTGCAATATTGACAGTATCAGGTGCTATCAGAATATTGACAGCTTGAGCTGCTGCCAACAGAACTTCAACTTGTAAATGGAGACGTGCTGGGTCATAATTATCAGGGACATGGTGATCGTCAGGAGTTGGGCCAGAAAAAACAATAGGTGGTGGCCACTGTAAGTTTGCTTTTTCATTTTTTGAAGTAGATTTCCGATATTACCCCTGGGATGAACACTTATGCAGCTTGGTTGGTTTTTTAAATTTATCTTCGTTGTTCATTGTTTCCATTATATCATAAATAGCAAAATTATTTAGTGAGACCTCTTCCTTATCAAGTAATGAATCATTACTACCATCTTGTTCTTGTTCAAATCGGTGAATTGCATCAACACTATCATTATCAATATTGTTGAACTCACACACGAATGTAGGATTCCAAATGGGAGCTTCTTTGATACGAATGGGGAATATTTCATCATCAATAATAACTTTGATCACTTCAGAAATTATACCAAGAATCAAGGTTAGAATACATACAATGTTATCATCAAGATAAGTAATTGAGCCCCATTTGGCCAAAATATGTCTAAAGGAATTCTTACTTCAAGCACGTAGGGGAAGACCTTCAACATCAACCCACATAATACGATCAGATGGCACAAAGCTTTTCTTGTATTTTCTTTTTTTCAGAAATCAAATGGTTAACCGCATCACATGTCAAAAAAAAATTACATGCTTCTTTGGATTTAAATTCAAACATCACCCACAAGCCACCCACATATCGAATAATAAAATTATCAAAATCTTCATCATGGCACAACATTCCCAAATTAGGAAGAGTACTAATGTTACGGGCCTTAGCTAAACACACTAATTTTTTGTTGTCAATAACAAAATTCCCAAATTCAAGAACAATGGCTAATTCTTCTTTGTCAGATAAGGATTTCTCACTTTGACCACCTCTTCCTATATTTGCATATGAAACAAAAAGATTCTCCCGTTTCTTCTCCACCTTAGGTGGTTCCCTATGAAAATTAGACGGAAGCAAACATCTTGTGATACCCGAACCACACATCACAAAGATTCTTAATCATATGATCAACATTAACATTGCCCGCAAATGTAACAAAACCAAACCGTTTCCCTATACATGACAACTTTTTGGAGATAAATACATCACATACTTTTCCAAACTAAGAATTTGGATGCCACACATCGGAATGGATAATATAATATGGGAAATTTGTAATATTAAAAGAATGTGACTCAGACCTGGATGTTTCATGAATACTTTCATTAGATGTCTTTCGAACGTGATTCTTGTTCTTCTTCCAACCTCGCCACATGAAGAACTTGACTGATTAGAGTGATGGGTTTTGAGCATTCTAACACTTCCTAAGTGTACATGCAACCCTAATAACCTTGGATCTATGTTTGTCTAATTATCATGCAAAGTTGAATTCCAAGGTTATATTCCTATCTAGCATACATGGGGAACAATTTTTAACTTGAATGAAAGATAGAATAACTTACCTTGTTGTTGCTTATGTTCCTTGAAACCTTGTGAGCCTAGCACCCCAAGTGTGATGCCTCAAATGCTTCACACAACACCAAATGCTCTTTGAAAGACTTTTGAGAGAATACACACTTCTTGAAATCGGCCTAGCTCTCTTGTTTCATATGTGTAGCCGATTTTGGTGGAGAATGGGATTCTTATATAGTGTTGACACATCTAGAGTTACACCATGTAAACCCTAATGTGTCATGACTCTTCATTTCCATGACCCATGGGTTTGTAACTCCCATGGAGCATCCTATGGGTGGAACCAACTTGATAATCCATAGAGCCTCTTAGACCACTATAAAAGATATGGATGATTTACATAATCAACCCATATATTTAATTTGTTATCTTTTGATCACTTAATTAAATCTAAATTAATTCTTGATCAAACTAATCAAATAATATTATTAATACATTAGAACTTATAATATATTAATAATCTCCAAGTGTTATTTCTCTCATTTAGTCTATCTAATTGCATGGTGCCATGCAACTCAAATGGACCATGCCGGGTCGGGTCAAGTACATACCAGAAATCTTTATGGACTTAGACACCTTATCCAACACTCTCCCACTTGGATAAGTCTAATAACTATTACTACAAGTATGACTTCAGGAACCGATCGGCAATCGTAGCTCTTTTCAAGGTTTCTCGGAATTGAAAAGATGATGCTACGCCATTTAAGATAAGGGATCATATAATCCTCTGTTCTAGATATCAGCCGGACAAATACATGGAACAATGTCTTCCTTATTGTCCAGCAATTTGTTTCCTGATTTCCGATTTGTTTGACAAAGAACTTAATTGAACACATCAACTTGGTTTTGACCGGGCCCGGTACATAGGTCAAAACAAAATCATCGAGGGGCCTAGATATCAACTTCTAATCCAAGAAGGAACAGATAAACTTCGACTCATATGTTTGTTCTACCACTCATTGAATTATACACAAAAGCACGTTTTATAACATCGAGTTACCAATGCGTTTTCGTACAATCAATACATAACCAACTTGTAAGTAACAAATCATATCTCTAGGTTTGAAGACTTATATGATATTACCGTCTCACGATCACTTGAGATAGAATTCCATGAAGTGATTCGAGTGAGCGTGGGTTGAATCCAATGCTCAGAACTTATGAGCACTCATGATTGTTGTAGCCTTGTCCAACATTGTAGACCTCTGCAACCAATCATGACATTCTTGATTCATACCTACTTCCGACATATGACCGACTGTGGAGGTTTGAATAATATGTTATACCAAACAAAATTATTCTGGAAGTCAAAACATGCAAAAGAAATATAGTAAACGATCGACAAGAGATAGCAACACTTTACTCATAAATAAAACACCTTTTATTCATCATCTAATGTCAATTACACTTTACTAATTTCGAGGTTATCTAACTACTAAATCTAATATCATCGTTCAACCCTATGCTCCGAGCATGTTGGAGATGCTTAACCCGAGTCAGTCCCTTCATGAGGGGATCCGCTGGGTTCTCATCCGATGAAACCCTCTTTGCCACGAGGAGTCCTTCTTCCATTCGATATATGATAAAATGGTATTTTCTATCGATGTGACTGGATCTCCCGTGATCCCTTGGTTCCTTGGCTAAGGCAACAACGCTTTCACTATCATAAAAAATTTCCATTGGATCTTTAATAGCTGGTACAACTCCAGGGTCTCCAATGAAGTTCTTCAGCCATATCGCCTCCTTTGCCGCCTCGCTAGCTGCAATATACTCTGATTCACAAGTTGAATCAGCCACTGTCTCTTGCTTGGAACTCTTCCAAGAAATTGCTCCTCCGTTTAGGGTAAAGACGCAGCCCGACTGAGAGCGGAAGTTATGCCTATCAGTCTCGAAGCTAGCATCACTATACCCTACAACTCTCAAGTCATCACTCCCACCTTGGGTAAGGACCCGATCCTTATTCCTCCGTAGGTACTTGAGGATATTCTTTACTGCAGTCCGGTGTGCCTTGCCAGGGTTCCCCTGATACCTGCTAACCATGCTCAAGGCAAAAACTACATCAGATCGAGTACACGTCATAGCATACATGATCAATCCTACAGCCAAAGCATAAGGTATTCGACTCATTTCTGCTATCTCAGCCTCAGTGCTAGGGCTTTGTGTCTTACTCAATCTGGCGTTACTCTGGATGGGTAACTCTCCTTTCTTGGAGTCCTGCATGCTGAATCTCTTCAGCACCTTATCCAAGTAGGTACTCTGACTAAGTCCAGTTAGTCTTTTACTCTGATCTCTCATGATCCTTATCCCTAGAATATAGGCAGCTTCTCCTGGGTCCTTCATAGAGAAACACTTCCCAAGCTTGGACTTAACTTCCTGCAGAGTTGGGATGTCATTTCCTATGAGTAGTATGTCATCCACATACAATACCAAAAAGCTAACTATACTCCCACTAGCCTTGACATACATACAAGATTCATCTTCACTCCTAGAAAAGCCAAATTCCTTGACCTTTTCATCAAAGCAAAGATTCCATCTGCGAGGTGCTTGCTTCAATCCATAAATGGATTTCTCAAGCCTACACACTCTATTAGGGTACTCGTTGCTGACAAATCCTTCTGGCCGACTCATGTAAACATCTTCAACCAACTTTCCATTAAGGAAAGCGGTTTTGACATCCATTTGCCAAATTTCATAGTCATGAAATGCAGCTATGGCTAACATAACCCTAATAGACTTAATCTTGGCTACTGGAGAAAAGGTCTCATCATAATCCACTCCAGGAATTTGAGAGAAGCCTTTTGCAACCAGTCAAGCCTTATAAGTGTGTACATTACCATCCGTGTCGGTCTTCTTTTTGAAGACCCATTTGCACCCTACAGTCTTACGACCTGGTACATTCTCAAATAAGTTCCAAACTTGATTGTCATACATGGATTGTATCTCGCTATCCATAGCCTCTTTCCATTTAGCAGACTCGGGGCCTAACATGGCTTCCTTGTAACGGTTAGGTTCATTCAGACCTATTAGTGTCTCATCACTGATAAGTGTATCTCCTTCTGCAGTAATATGGAATCCATAGTAATGCTCAGGTGCACTCCTAACTCTCGTGGAACGCCTCAAAGCTACAGATTCGTCAATTGGCTCAACAGGAGTTTCCTCATCAAGTTGAGGGCTAGTGTTTGAAGTTCCTTCATCACTTGACTCTTGAATTTCTTCAAGATCAATTTGCCTCCAACTGTCACCTTGGCTTATAAACTCTCTTTCTCGAAAGACTCTTCTTCTTGCTACAAAGACCACATTATCACTAGGTCTGTAGAAGAGGTAACCAAAGGATTGCTGGGGTAGCCGATTAAAATATACCTCGTGCTTCGAGGTTCGAGCTTATCATGAGTCTCGCGTCTCACGAAAGCCTCGTAACCCCAAATCTTGATGTGGTCTAGTTTGGGTATTTTACCAGTCCACTCGTCAGGAGTTTTGGCAACTTTCTTTGTAGGAAATAGATTAAGGATATGGGTGGCAGTATCTAAGGCATACCCCCAGAATGAGATTGGTAATGAAGCTCGAATCATCATGGAACGAACCATATCCAACAAGGTTCGATTACGCCTCTCAGCCACACCATTCAACTGTGGTGTCCTGTGAGGTGTCAATTGTGAGACAATCCCACATTCCCTAAGATAGTCGAGGAACTCTGAACTAAGATACTCAACACCTCGATCGGATCGAAGCATCTTAATGTTCCTGCCCAATTGATTCTCGACTTCCTGTTTAAATTCCTTAAACCTTTTGAAAGTCTCTGACTTATGCTTGATTAAGTAGACATATCCATATCTACTGTAATCATCAGTAAAAGTCAAATAATAACAATTAGCATCCCTTGTGGCATGTTTGAATGGTCCACACACATCCGTGTGTACATGGTCCAACAAACCTTCACCCCTCTCACACGAGCCTGTGAAGGGTGACTTTGTCATTTTTCCAAGTAAGCATGATTCGCAACTATCATCTGACTTTAGGTCAAACGACTCCAAGACTCCATCTTTTTGGAGTTGGCCTATGCATTTCTTGCTTATATGTCCAAGTCGACAATGCCATAATGATGCTTTATCCAAGTTATTATTATTAAGAGAATCAATACACAAAACATTATTTCCTAAGTTATCTACAACAAATACAGCTTCATACACGCCATCACAAGGTAATGCTTTAAAATAAAGAACATTATGAAAGAAAGCATTAATCGAACCAACTTCATTATCGAATGAAAAGGTGAAACCTTGTTTATACAATGCATGAAAGGAAATAATATTTCTTGCCATTTCTGGCGAATAACAACATTTATTCAAATCTAAATTTAACCCACTACTTAGCGACAAAGTATAAACTCCAATCTTGGTGACAGGTGTAACTTTCCTATTCCCCATGATTAAGTTTATACTTCCTTACTCCACATTCTCACTTCTTCTTAGTCCCTGCAAGTCACAACAAATATGAATACCACAACCGGTATCAAGGACCCAAGATTTAGAATG